GGAATTTAACAGTTTATTTGGGCGAACCTGTGCCCGGTAAACGGAAAGTCCGATTACAGTAGCTGTCTTGGACTGATAGCGACGAACAGAGCGTCGGCCGTCGATCAACTACCGACAAGCGGCGAAGCGCGTCGGCATTTATACTCTTGCCGTCGAATGTTCTAGAGTTATCGCTGGCGGTGGCGTAGGTTCCAGAATAATCTGTACAGTTCGCAGAGTAGGCGTGATCTTATTGAAATGATCTGCTACAGTCCGGATGCTTCTCGAAAACTGCAGGCACGGTTTGCGCTGAGAATTGTGTTGTGGTTTGGGACGATAACAAAACTTGGGAAATGAAACGTGGCACTATTTATTCTGTATATCGTTCCTCACGCGACTCCAGTTGAGGCGCTTCGGCGCGTCGCACACATTAGAGAGTTTTAGTACTGCGTACGCTGCGTACGTGGCGGCGTTGCGTACGTAAGGACGCCACGTTTTGCATAGTGCGCATGCGCAGACCGCAACGCACACGTATCGCGTTACGTACGCAGCCGCTACGTACGCACGCATGAGATGCGTGCGTGCGTACGTATGAGGTGATCGCGCCGCTCTCGAACAAGTTCGCGACAGCGCGAGACTTCGTTTTGCAAAATGGCGGCATCGAAGGCAAGCACCGACCAGCTCTGTGGCTTAAAATATGGCCATAATCTGGCTATAACATTTAGATTGGCTCACATTGGCTGTCAACGTACAACACGTGCTTCTATTTTGATCTACCAGATGGCGCAACACGCTTCTCGCTCGTTACGTACGCGGGTACTACGGCGTACTAAAAGCCAATTAGTGGCAAAGGACGCCACGTAACGCAAGGCGCTTGCGTGATGCGTACGTAGCACCATTCCGCAGTACTAAAACTCTCTATTATACTTTACTTACACGTCTTGCGTAGGACGATCGACCTCGCAGAACGCATCTATTGCCGAAATGCATCCACATCTCTCGTTTTGTCATGGAGGAAGGAATGCGTTTTGCTGGTTGAATTCTTCCTTTTTACCTTACATTAGAAGGCCACCATAAACAAGTTTGTTCGCTTTTCGGTATACTGAGATATCCTCCACTCTTCCCATTCTTTATTTCGTTAAATTACCTTATTTTAAAACTACAACAAGGCCTCATTCAATGTAACCAGAACAATCTTGCAGACGTATACGTGTTTCGGTTTCGTTTTTGCGAGTTATAATTGTACCACAAAACTCTTTGACACTTGTCTTCTGTGCTACTCCTCATTGTGTGACAAACGGATTCGGACACGGAGCACTGAGTGAGTGGTGAAGAGTGTCAGGGAGTTGCAATAAACAATGAGCCCCTTCCCACGCAACACGCGTTACTTGCAAACGAAACCAAAAATATGAAAACTGCGCAGTGCCAACAACTCATGAGCAATATAATACATAAAAGAAAGGAAGTACGAAAAAATAGGATGAGCATTAACATCACCGACTAACGAAGCGCTGCTCGTTAGGCCTAGATGGCAGGCTACGGCCGCAACAGGAAGTTCGCTCATCGCCGCGCTGCGCCCGTCATACAATTAACACGTGCGGGTATGAGTAGAGGTGGCCTACTTGCCTGTCCCAAAATTTTATGCATGTCTTTATGTGTGCCCATACACACAAACACACATGCGCGTGCACATGTGCCGTCTGACACGAACCTCTTACAAATTCCGGATACAGGGATACTATTGTCGACGCCCGTTCAAGCTGGCGCGCATCAGACAGGACCGTAAAGTTTCCAGATATGAATCTGCAGCTGCAGCACGTGGCATCAGCGCTTTACGGCGATGACAATATTGAAACACAACAGCGCCCGCAGCCACTACAAGTGAACTATTTATATGTGCTACACTTGATTCAACACGACCGCAATCGAATTTTTCGCTGCGGTTACAGTCTGCGGTTGATGTAGCGCTACAGTTCTCGTGCATCTCTTAAATTCCACGCTAAAGTCATTCCTATATAAGTTCTGGTGTAGTACTGAATCCTGTATATCTGCTACCTGAAGAAGTGCGTAGCACAGACAACCCAACCATAGCTTCAATCGCGCGCTTGCCGAGGAGGTGGCGTCCTCTCTTGCGCGGCGCGGCTATCAGCCAGACGCTCCAGAAGTGTTTCTCGCGAGTTTAGCTATATTATAGCGATTGATTATTGGTTATTTCTGTAGTTCGCATTATTTCGCATTAGACATTAGGCATTATTTCGCATTAGACATTGTTAGTTCGTTTCACGCTGTCTTCGAGCAATGAGTTCTGTTCTAGGCCTGCATGTATATTGACCACTGCGTGGCCATGTGAGATAAGATGGTGGATGAACGACAAGCTAGCTACACGTGCTACACACTATAGAGTTCATTCACTTTAGCTGTTATATTTGCTAAAGGGGCCCCGAAACACTTTTTCAAGTAACCATGGAATGAAATCACTGGAATAGCTCGTTGCCTCACGAACTCAACGCCGCAAAAATTTTAAGAATCCGTCCAGTGCGAGTGAAGTTACAAAGGTTTGTCGCATGCTGCAACTGTATTACTCTCTTCTCTCGCCCTGACGAAAGCGCTGGAAGCTAAGCAGGGAGGGATGGTAGGGGCAAACAAAACACGCAATTCGCGTCTCGTGACCTTGAACACTTTTTCTTTTTTCCCCCTTGAATGCGCGGCTTTTTTAGTGTGATCGCACACGAACACGTGGACAAGTACCGGCCCCCCGCGCTGATCTCTGTAACGAGCGAGCGCACCATGTTCAAATCAGCCAGTGGCTGATAGATGGGTAAAGAGTGCTTAACAGCGCAAACTACAGGAGGGGATAGAAGAGACAAAATAGAGCGCTGGGCTTACTACGTGGGATTTCTGGGCATATTGCGTAATTTGTCGAGACAATAGAAAACAATTTTTAGCTGACTTCGATAATTTGTGAATTCCAGGCCGCGTGCTGCGCTACAGTATTTGACTCGCGTGTTGTCGGGAGCCTCTACTACCGATCGGCAGCGTTTTCTGACCATTAATTGATTGATTGATTGACTAAAACTTTATTTTGGTCGTCAGAAGATGCAGGAGAGACCCTGCACCACCCGGCTAATCCCACGTAGGGACCGTCAAGCCGAGCTTGAAGGCCCGTTCCCGGGCACTCTGGACGGCCAGGGTCTCATTGTTAAGTTCGGGGCTGCGTAAGAGCGCAGCCCACCTGTCCTCGCTGAGGGCGGGGCCGATGGCTTCACATTCCCACAAGACATGGTTGAATGTTGGTAACAGTCCACAGGCGGGGCAATCCGCACTGCTCAAAAAGTGTTGCATGGCCCTTTTAAGGACTGCTCGATTATTCTGGCGTTTTCGTGGCATTGTCCATATCTGAAAAATTAAAGTGGCACTGCAGGCAACCAGCGCCCCATCCCTACACTGCCTGCCCACCTTCGCGATGAACGAAGAGCAATCGGATATATTGAGCCATGCGACGCTCTGAATACGCTTGCCATTCAATAACATAAGGAGGAAACGTCGCCGCGAAGGGCAGAGTGTGTTGTTCACGCTTAATTTTGCGCCTGCCTCCACAGTTTCACCTGGTCCGGTGAGAGAAGTTTCATAATACCGCAGTTACGCAGGTAATCACATACTTTATCATATCCAAAAACTAGTATATAGCTTCTTACCAAGCTGACTTAAGTGTCTTATTATTGGTGAGCCCCATAACTTGAAGGTAAATTCGATACCTCATTACTAATTAAGGGATATAATTATGACATGCCACCAGACAGCATCTCACATTAGCACTACAACAGATGGAATGCTTACAGTGAAAGCCCCGTTTTATTTCTAAGTGGCTATCAAACATAGAAGTGGACACAAGCAGCAGGGCTGCAAAGTCGTCTCCATAAGTTATTTACTCCATTGTGGTCGAGCAGGTTTTTATGATAATAGCAGGCAAAGGCCCCTGATAATGCCAAGAACTGTTTACTATCCATATTTACTTCATGAAGGAAAAGAGGGACCAAAGGCAAGCCACTGTGTCAAGTACATCACCACTCATTTTTGTTTTTTTTTATCTATTGTGGAGCATGCTGTACTTTGAGCTCAACCAACAAAACTTTGCACCCCCCCCCCCATCAGGAACCCTGCATACACCTATGCCTATGAACATATTTGTAAACATACTTTGTACTTCACTGGCCACCGATCAGCACCTAAGTATATCTCATGAATATTAAACTTATTGAACATCTTGATATTAATAATTCATTTGCTGTTCCCAGCTATTACATGACACCTTTTGGAATTAGGTTGCTTTTTATGGGCAGCGCTTATGCAACTGGTGTATAAGAAAATCTCTTTCAGCTTGATGTAGCATGAGGTAAGCACACAATGTATGAGGTATAATTAGTCTAGTGTCCTTGTATTTAGGTACAAAGAATATAAGTAGTGTCCCGGAGTATATGCACCTTTTGGTTGCACCTGCGCATGTCTGCAAAGACACTAGTTTTAGGGAGCCACCTATGATATGAAGGATTGTTTGCAGCTGGCACCAAAAGAACATGCCTAAAAAATGAAAAAAAAAAAAAAACACCACTGTAACTAACAAAAAGTGTTGATGAATGGGTAAAGAATGGCAACAATGGCCAGGCACTGCAGCAACAAAGGTTGGCTGGTATTATGTGAATAGGGAAGTAAGCGGAGCTGATTGGTTTAAAAGTTACGTTAACACTACTTCACTCCTCCTTAAACCGGAAAAAACATCTCCACCATGCATACGAGGTGAAGTGGGAATCTGCGAGCAACAATATTTACTTTCCGCAGAAGTTGAGGTAAGTTGCTTTAGCTGGCAGCCCATTGAAGCCCATTGAAGCGTTTAGTAGTCATTCTTGAAAGCCTTTCTACATTCTAAGAGTCAGTGGATCAAGATGTTGGAGCCGACACTCCAGGACCGAGCACTCTTTTTGAAGTGTACCACATTAGCATGCTAAAATAGTGAGCACCAAGTATGAATGGCAGTACCAAACTCTCTATTCATTTATTTCATGTGCTACACTACATCCAAGTACAACTGCATTTATCGGTACAATGTATGGCATAGACCACTTGTCCAAATGTCCTTGGTACAGCCAAGAAGCTCTACATAGCGGAATACCGAGAAAAGCATAACACAAAGACGAAGGTTGATCAGTACAGACGATAGCTGCACAGGTTCAATGCCAGCAATTTTTGAGCGAAAATGAATCATAATGAGACACCGAGCAGGCAGCAATGTTTTGTGATGGAACTCAAGTATATTCAATTAGAGTGAACATGAATTTAATGAAATATTGGACATAACAAAGCGAATAAAATTTTCTCAGCATAAGTACACTGTAATAAATACATATCTATAAGAAATAACGGATATACAGTGAACCTTCGTTTGATGCGACCTTATCAAAAATTACCGTTGACTGTACATCTTGATCCTCTCTATTACACATAATGAAATGCAGTAACAACTTTAAAAGCCAGCGCCTGGAAAAGCTCACAGCGGATGTCATGTGCTCTAACCTACACAAAGACAGAAGATAGATGCGACTGTTGCAATGACAGCTGGCCGGTTTGTTTTCGTCTTCGCATTGATCACGTCTTGGTCTTTTGAAGCAGCTTGCGCCGCCTCTCGCGTCTCTGTGAGTCCTCAACGGACGCGCGGTGCTGTTCCACTTGCTCCCATATGGGCAGCTGGTCTTCCTCGGTGATGACCTGGCGGTACTGCTTCATTAGGTCGTATTTCTCCCACGGCGTCGCTACAGCGGCTGCTTTGTCGTAGAACTTCTGCGGCAGGCCGAGGTCCTGTATGCCTTTGAGGTTCTGTCTTTCCCAGCGCTCCAGCCAGGGTCTCGGCTTCAGCTTTACCTACACGGAGAGGAAAAGAGTGCAAAAATAGCACTTGCATGAGACTGGTGCTATGTTCAGCAGCAGCACATCAGAAACACGAACTTTAAAGAAGATGCTTCTGATGATTTTTTACAAAACCAATCAGGCTGCTCGCATGTGTCCCTCAAATAATTATCAGGCTGATCTAACACCTTTGTGTAATACTTCGTAAAGTGTCAAAGCCAAAAAACATTTAGTAATTTAGGATTAGTTCTTAAAGAGTTGCAACACTGTTTTGTTGCGATGCTATGCAGTTGTAAACGGATGAATGTGCATCACTGACAAATAAATATAAACCAAATTGACTGAATACTTTTTGAATGGCAGTGCCATGTAAGGTTTCTGTACAATAATACATGGAACATCAAGTCCTGGAAAATTGTTTGGTGACTACATCTTTATCATCTTGAAATTAACCTTTTTATTTTTTCAAGTCTATGAGAAAATGACGCATGAAATGAATACTGTATTTACTCGTGTAATGAGCCCACCTTTTTTTTTTTCGGAAAAATTGATGCCAATTTTGGCGGAGGGCTCATTACGCAGGAGAAAAAAGTCATTGGAGCTATAACAGCGAAAATTTCGGGTGACGACTTTGCTTGTTTTGACCCGTGGCAATTTTTTTTTTTAGCCCAAAGCTCTTTTTGTTTCGTCTCATAATGAAAGTCCATGGATCGATGCCGAAGTGTCGTCCAGCCGCTCGGTTCCAATGCTCCAGTGCATGCTGTTAGTAACCAGCCGTGTAGCCAGCGTACCGGCCGAATGCACCCTGTGCAGCAGGTGTCCCAATTAAGTTCACAAAGACAAACCCAACAACGAAAACGCAACGTCAGATGGCGGCGCACAAACGTTGTATTAGACATTGCGGGTGCACAACGGGCCGACATAGGCCCAAGATGACGAACGCACGGCTTGTTCCATGACGCAGCGGGAGCGCTATTTTGGATGCCACGTGCTTTGTTTTTATGCCGCTGTGTTTGCGTGGAGCTATCAGCAAAGAGGTTTCTCCTGCATTTGAAAGATAATGCTTTGCCGTACAAGGCGCGACTTTCAAATTTTTATTGACGTCGTCCGCGCTCGTGCTGCTCGCAACTGTTTCGCATAATTGGATAACTAATATCTTTGGCTTTCATTGCATTATTTTGTCATATAATGGCTTGATTTAACATTGTTTCCATCATTAACGGCACTGGCTATCATACTAAAATAAAATGGACAGATACATTTAAAAAAGCTTTTTTTTTTCCCTTTCTTCAAGGATCAAGCCTCAATGTTGGTGGTGGGTTCATTATGCGAGTGGGTTAACGCAAATTACACTGAAACCAGAAATTAGATAACTAAAATAAAAATGGTAAATTTAGCACACAGAGAAGTGGAGTGAGGAGTTTTCGGTGGAGTGCGGGGCTCCCTGATCAAGACATGAAAAAACAAAAATGCAGAAGGTCGCCAAAGATGAATATGACAAAGGCTGACAAGGATGTAATGGCAACAGCTGCCCTTATCATGGGGGAACGTGCGAGCATAAAAAATGTCTTTTCGAGCTCTAGGCTAGTGCAGAAGGTAAGCTGCTACAACATTACGGAGTTGAAGATGCATGCGTAGACTCTCTTAGAGGCGCCATCACATCAATAACACACAGCACTGTCTGACAGATATCCGAGAATACAATCTGTACAAATAGGCTATGCGATGAGGATTGCAATGTAACTTCAATAAATACGAGTAATAAAAAATGGTCACCAGTCTGTGTTAGCCATTTGAGCATTACTACATCAAAGTGCCACATTTGTGTACCACCGTTGCAATTGTGTCAAGTCACCAGCAATTTTTTACAAAAAACTGAGTGACGACTAGTGGGATTGAGTCAAATACTACAAGTTACTAGATCTCCCGTAGACGTTTCCCCGTGGCCTCGTTTTCTCTCTCCTCCCAGTCTGGAGAGCATTAATTTATGCTCTTCAGGTCTAATAGCTTGCATGATTAGACGAAAGCAGGAGTTCTAATCTTTCATTACCTCTCCTTCAAGGCGGCACACAGGACTGATCCCTCTAAGGACTGAGATAATTACTTGTGTAGCGGTCTGCGAGATTCACGAAAATCTATGCCAGTACCAAAGCTAAAAAAAAGTCTAACTTTTTTCCTTTCATATTTCCGCACGGTCCACGACTTGCATCTATACGTTACTACGGAAAGAAGCAGGGCACTTATCGGCCGATTTTTAGTTTGGAGACCGACGTCTTCGTATTTCGCTGTGTTTGAAATTACACCTATAGCTCCCTTTCAATATACTGTTCTGAAAACCGTATCCTGCACAGTATTTCCTTCATAGATATACCGTCTGTGTCCATTCAAGACAGTAGAATCTCGATGATATGAGCTTGAAGGGAGCATGCAAAATTTTCATAGCTAGAATTCGTATGAACCAAAAACAAGTTAAAGCCTATTATAAAGATGGACAAGACCTTTGTTGGAGTCAACTACTTCTTGCAGAAAAATAAAAAAAAGTCTACGATGTTCTTTTGAACTTTCCTGCTTCACCGCCTCTCAATAAAATTCCGGGGTTTTCTCACTCATGCTGCTCGTGCTCTCAGGCCCACACACACTTGGCATCAAAGAAAGCAAAAGCGGCAAAACTTGAAAATTTACTCGATTCCGGAAAAATGCGCAACAATGTCGATACGAAAAAACATCAGTCCTGGAGAATTCAGGCGAAAAAACCAGAGCAGCTGCAAAACCACGTCCGCGCCTGTTTAACCACCGCCATCACCACCTTCACCGCTAGTGAATTTATTCCCGAGCATTAATATCTGTACTGAGATCTAGTTATGCACACAAAGCACTGCAAAGAAACATTTTAGATATGTCAAGAGAAACGACACGAGTGGAGGCAGCAACGGCTATGGATTCAACCGGCAGTGCAAAACGAGACACGTTAGGGCATGCCAACTCGCGCTGCTTCACTTTTTTTCTACTTCCGGTGTTCGCAGCGATCACAATTCAAACCAGGCTCTCGATAAATGCGCTTTTTCAAGGCTGTGAGCTTTGTCGTGCTGCGTGGGTAGTTCGCGATTGTGCTGACGCGAGCCGCCGCAGACACGTTTGCCGCTATGTTGAATGCTTGACTGATTGTTTACAATCACGTGGTTTGTGAGCTAGCTAGTGCAGCTGGTGTAGCCAAAGCCGTAGAAGAAAGATAATCCGTTATCCCTTGAGAGAAAAATTGGTCTTGGGCCGATTTTCTCCCATCGGCCTCTCGGCACGGTTTTCCGGTGGCGAAGCGAGGGAAATTTCGGTGAATTTTGCCGCATCCGCTTCCATCGAGGCCAAGTGTGAGAGGGCCTTTCTCCCACAGACAAACAGCGTTGCGCCGGTCGCGTGCAAAGGTCAAACACGCATTCGTATCATCCCCGGTTGCTGGAGAAACCATTCGTATAACACCAAATCGTGGCGTATTTTACGCAATGTACTCCGTCCGAAGCAAGCATGAAATTCATATCATCGCGAAATTTGCATAAGCCATAATGGTATCATCGAGATTCTACTGTACTAGGTAGGCGTAGCGCTCTAGGTTGATTACGTCGTTGGTTGTCGGGATGCTCTGCGCTTCAACAGTTGTAACTTTGCTCTCTTTTTTTACCTCTCAAATGAGTGTCTTGCGTTCCTTTATGCTTTCTTCTGTAAATATAGCGCCACGTGCATATACAGTCAAATACCTTTATAGGAGACATTGATGTAAGAGACAACTGGGTAAAAGAGACACCAGGGTGCCTACATAAAGATAGAGCCTGATAAGAAAGTGCATATGTAGTAACCTGCTTATACGAGACTTCATTTATAAGGCAAGAATTGCTGCCTGCTGCACGTCTTTTATAAAGGGGTTGAACTGTGGTACATTGGTCTTCTTTGCTCCTCCAATTTACCTTCCTACAACCCAGCTTTATAGTCACGGTTCCCGGGTGCGCATTTTATCAGTTGGATAAGTATCGTAGAAGAGCACAAAAAGTCTTACCTTGAGCGTGTTTATCGGCACCGGTGCTCCCTCATTATGAGTCTGGGCCTCCATGTCAAAGGGAAATGTGCTGTACTCAAGCGGGGCGTCTCGCAGGTAGCGAAGGTGTTCATCCAAACGCTTCTCCAGTCGCAACACTTCTATCTTCAGCAGGAGAGGGCTGTACAGGTCGTACATGATTTCGACACCTGCAACAGAGTCCCACAAGTCAACTTTCATGAGGCTGCATGCTCAGTGTTCTTTGTTGCAAAAGAGGAAAAATGACCAGAAGCACATACAATGGTGGGTTCTGGTGTGCTCTTCTGACCAACCCATGATTGCACAAAACAAACGTGCTTACGGAGCACACCAAACACAGTATTGCTTACGACACAGTCAAGTCTTAATTTAACAAATTGGGTTACAACAAAGTGGATATAGCAAAGTGATTGTGCTTCCCTCTGAAACTCCCATATAAACAAGTTTATCCGAAGCTTTGTTTGAACTAAGCAAGTATGTATCGTCTATGGATTGAGAAAAGGAACTTTGTCACTGAAAAATAAAATTTTGTATGCCTTTGTGCGGACCACATCTCATTTCATTATCATTCTTTTTAAGTTTTCGCTAAAGCAGATGCCGACATGGTGACGACCAAAAGAGTGACTGATGGGGACATTTTGCACAGATGCAGTGGAAGTGGAAAACGAGGGCACTGAAAATTAAAATGTTTGTGAGGGAGGCATTATAATGACTGTGGAGGATCTAGATCTACTGAATTTGTGGTTCAGCTTTTTCAGTGCGTATTATGACGGTGGGGATCGTCTGTAGGCAACAGCAGCAGCCTACAAAAAAATTATCAGAAGGCAATAAGACAATAATCTTCCACAAAGTATATTTTATTTTGCGCGGCGGCAGCTATGCTCAAAATTCTTTAGTTGCTTCACCCTTTGCCGAATGACTTGGGTAAAATGAATGAAAAATGCTTATAAAGAAATAATGATTATGGTGAGGTAAATGTGGTTCCCCATCCATCGTAATGATGTTTAACTGTATCACTCGCAAAAGTGTGCACAGAACATTTGCACTAATATAAGGGCAATGGAAACAATCATTGGTTGTCAGAAAACCTGACTTCCAAGTGAAATGTGTCTGCTTCAACACATGCTATAATGCACATTCCAGCGTGCATAAGCCGTGGTGCCTTATAAACTCTAGAATCATACATTCGTATTGAATGTGGCGCACTAGACGAAGAGAGAGAGTCACTACGAGTACAAACAAGGTCCCACTTATGCTCGTGAAGTTAGTCACAGCTGTGATGACTGTACGATAGCCTTCATGCTTCCTAAAATTCCACTCCAGATGCGTCTTCTGTCAAGCCATTGTGGACTTTAAACCGGAAACCGTGACATTGGTTGGAGTGACGATATTAGCACAGATGACAGCACTGTTCATAAAGTGGGGAATCCTAGAGATGTTGAACTGCATGGAATGTCATGGCACAATTCTTTGCAAGTGATTTCAGTGGAGTGCCAGCATTGGGGAAGTGGCTTCGTCGTGATGCCATGAACATTTACGCCTCCATCTCAAACATCTACGAATGTCATTGGCCTGTGCTTTGTGCCTAAGTGAAATACATGCATTGTTAGGTACGGCAAAGAAGGTGCAGACACACAGAGGCATCTCCTTTATGAGGCTGCTTTTGTGTTGGTGGTGGAGTGGGCATTGACTCCGCATTACCTTCTGGCTCGCTAAATGTGCCACATTGTGCATAGAGTAGACAAGCCACCACTCGGTGGCTGGTCTACTTTATGAAGTCTGGTGAGCAGCACAATCAGTACAAACACCAGTGTTTGCAATCATTGTGTCTTGCATCTGCACAGAAGAAGCAAACAGTTACATATCGCTGACTTGTTTTTGCTGATGACTCACATTGTGTTTCCGCTAGAAACCTCGTTAGCTCTTCTTTTTCTACCCAATCCACTACGGGATACTGACACAAAACTTTGCGGCTGAGGTAGCTTGTGGGATCACTCTTGCGAATCTGTGTGCATACTCTATCAAAGCCCAACAGAAAATATAGCTTGGGAAGTTACTTTGAATTTCGAAGTTTGCAGGCTCAGTCCAGTGATACAAGCCACACCTCGTGACACCCACATCATGTAAGGTGACGTGAAAGTCAACCCTAGCTTCCGCGACATCACCACTGTGGCTGGGCTTTTGTTTGGTGGAGCTAGTATGATGACATTGTAGTTGCCATTGCCCCTTTTCCTTGCATGTGCCAGTAGGCTACTGTTTGGCAGATGCTCGGGAGCCCACGCCCACGGTGAACCTGTGCAACCTTCAAGGAAGTCGTTACCACCAGAGGACGGTGACGGCGTTGCACATGTGGAAGATGAAAGAAATGCAAGCGGACTATGCAGGCAGCACGAAAGCGTGTCACAGTTCTGTGTGGTGTTTTACAAACTAGATAGTGTTTGTTGCACTTCGAGGCTTGTCGTTCTCGAAGTTCTCTCAAACCCAAACTGTGGCTAATCGGTAATTAACAGGCTGTAATTAATTACCTGTCACACACTGCAGCAAGCTATGTGCCTTGTGCAATTACTAACAGGCCCCCAGCAACCTATGGCAACAAAAAAAAAAAAAAGCCAAACTAAAATTTCCGTGTGAGTACCCATTCAATAACACACATAAATATGGACAGAGTGGGTGTTACTCAGGTTTGGTACAAGTGGCGCTGGCTCCACACCTCACCTTGGTGTTCGATGACATTTCGCAGCGTAAATTGGTGCCTCATGCCAACACCGTGGCGCATGATGCAGATTCCGACAAAGCGGTTTTGCTTGCCAGGAGCATTGTTGTCCGAGACTGTGACAGCCATGATAGAGCCTGGGTAGCGATCGGGGAAAACCACGAGGCATTGGAGGCACAGTGACACACAATGGTAATGACTGCATGACAACTTTCATCAAATTACACAGTTATGTTAAATATGAATCATACTAGCAAGTTGACATTTACTGTACTGTATGCCAAAGTTTAAATTCAGACTTTTGCGTTAATCAGTTACTAGCAATAAATGTCAGATAATAACAGTGACAGATGTATCACTTGCATACATAAAAAAATCGGCAGAACCCACGTACTATGGGAATGAACATTATGTGAAGCATGCGAATGGGCGAATGGACGGTGATTATGGTGCGATCTTCATTTCTTGAGTGAAAAATTATGAAATGATGCTAAATATATGTACAAATGCTGTACACCCAGAAATATGCTGAACAGTCTCGTATGTTTTATATAACCAGTTGATTACAGGTAACTACGCCAACAGCGACATGGGTGTTACAAACACCAGAAATGGCAATCCGATATGTAGCACTTGTGCTTGTGAGCATGGTAGTGCTGGCTAGTGATACGTAGACCAATTTCCGTGGATGGCGCTTAAGTATAAAACGAATGTTAAGCCAACGTGACACCTGTTTCATAGGGGTACATATATATATATATTGTTTATAAAATTACACAGACAAAACTCGTCATAGTGAACCCTGATGTAACAAATTTTTCAGATTAACAACTTCTTCAAAAATCCCACTCCAAGTGTCCATTGGTTTAATGCAAAAATATTTCACTACTACAAATTTCAGAATACTGAATGTTTCAGAATAACAGACTGAGTTTATCCCCCGTATACCTCCACAAGACTTCAAAATGATGAAAAGAGAATTTAAAAAGTTACACACGGCTGTAAAAATAATGCCCGGCTTCATAGCTGATTGATATGTGGGGTTTAACGTCCCAAAACCACCATATGATTATGAGAGACGCCGTAGTGGAGGGCTCCGGAAATTTCGACCACCTGGGGTTCTTTAACGTGCACCCAAATCTGAGCACACGGGCCTACGACATTTCCGCCTCCATCAAAAATGCAGCCGCCGCAGCCGGGATTCGAACCCGCGACCTGCGGGTCAGTAGCCGAATACCTTAGCCACTAGACCAACGCGGCGGGGCAACCGGCTTCATAGCTGCCACTATCATCATCTTCAAAAAGCCTGAATATTTCTCCATCTACCCACCCTACTGAAATGAGCGATGATCGCCATCATTATTGCCTGGTACTTGTTTTTCGCATCAGGCTTCTTCCCCCCGTTGCGTTTGTTTTCGTCGAGCAGCTTGACCTGCGGACTTGTTACACAGCTGTTTTCTTGCCTTTTGGTTGGTGGTTGAAACTTCAAGATGAGCTCCACACACAAGCAGTATGAATGAAATGCTATGACAGTGGAAAATGCAACGCGAGTGACCTATGGGATGATGTCGAGATGGTTACACGGGCACGCTTCACTAACACTCGAACACTACGCACAGTGCGACGAGGACGACCCATAAGGGCCACGCCATTTGTTGTCATAAGGAAACGGCGACGAGAGTGAAGACGACATTGAAACAGCATGTGCGTAACCAACATGATCAATTCGTATTTGACACCGATTCTTCGCAGTGTGTAAGAAGGGTGCGCAGTATGCTCAAGACTTCGTCTTACAGCAGTCGAGCTGCCCACATCAGGATAGGTTGTGCTCTTCCTCAAATAAACGTGCACTGATTCCGTAATATTTCGTGTTTTGTTTCTTCGTGCTTACTTGAAGTTGAAGTTTATTGAAGGGTAAGCATACATATAAATGAACAGATAAGCGGAGTAAATGGGGAGGTCACAGAGTAAAAACTGTCGAGGGGATATTCTAACACATTGTGAATAAGATGATGCAAAATATGCAGCAGACAATCGGCGTTGTGACAAAGTCCTAAATACAATGTGTAGCATGAACAAAATGAATAAAAACACTTTACTCAACTTTCAAAAATACGAAAATAAACAAGTCTACAATAATTAGAAGAGCAGAACTGAACCATACATAAAACTACGTTTTCGTTAGAGGTGGTGTACATCTACAATTACACTATAGGAGTAGCGACACTGTTATTACACATATAGCGTACAATTCATCAAAGCAGTGCAAAACAAGCAGAAAGTAAAAAAAAAATGAACCAATTTCAATTTACTAATTGCGCCTATATCTAACATGTTCTAGTTAGTTAACTTCAGCATAACACGGTCGCAAATGCATACACAGCATAGGTAGACGATTTATGTGTTCAAATTTTTAAAATACTTTCACTACAATGATTTTTCCAAATAACGAATGATTTTTAGTGGTCGTTTGAATTTTGTCCTATCAAAATTTCACTGTATCCAGCACTGCAATCATAAATGATACTTCAACATCACACCTGCAAAAGGTCTTTTTTCAAAGCAATTTTGAGAGCTGGCGTGGCTCTGTGGTAGAATACTTGATTGCCATGCCAAATGCCCGGGTTTGATTCCTGCTGCGACCTTAATATTTATCCTTCAAATTCGTTGAGGCAACGCTTCCGATGTCGGTTTTTCTTAAATCTCTGTTCTCCTGTCCCGCGGTAGATATAAACTCTGAAACATCCGAGGGGCATACCTGCATACCATGAGTATGTGCCACACAACTCGAGGAAAGGGTTTGACGATGTACGCAAGACGATTTTCACATTATCCATGTCATGACCAGCCACACATACTCATCAGACATACCCTCTTACCCTCCCATTCTAATTTTGGTATCACAAGTTTAGGGGGCCCTCAAAAGAGCACCCAGGCGTAAGGGCTGGATAGATAGATAGGAACGGTCAAAGTGCCTGCAGTCCACTAAAAAGTGCTTTGCATTTTCAAAACTTTGTATGAATTTCAGGGAAGAGTTGATTATGTTAACGCAAAGCTAAGTTTGAAAAAAAGCCTTGCAAATACATTTTCTTGAGTCCCCTTGGCAGTAGTGGGCCAGTTAGAAAACTCGTACAAATGACTTAAACAGATCTTCTGTTGGAAAATTTTGTGATAATGTAATGCAACCAACCAATATATAGCCAATGTTGATGCACAGACAAAACAAATAACAAAACAAACAAGAAAAAGACGTCTTACCCACGTAGAATTCCGGAATCTCGATGACTGATCGCCGGTTGAGCATGTCCTTTCTCTCCAGCTTTTCTCTAATTGCATTTCGCAAGCTGAAGTCTGTATCTGGAAGGAACTCCGGGTAGATAAACCTGGTTGAAGGAGGCAAGGATAATATAAAAATGCCAGTTTCAACCCGCATGACTCTAATTCAACTCCTAATCTTTGAATCTTATGACATGTGCCTTTAAAATAGGTGGCAGGTGTGCTCTGGACATTGCCCCCATGCAACACCTCTTTTTACATGTCGCACGTGACACCTATGACCCTTCGAGATTGCACAGCTCAGCACTTCCTCTATTTTTACAATGTCAGCCATTCACCACCTTCTCCTCTAGCCCGTTCCTGCTCTCGCCCATCGCCTAGCCTTCGCGTGTGCTTTGCAGCTATGGGCAACAGAACCCACCATGCAACACCTCAAGGCAGAAATCATATCAATGAATTTTTCGTTCAGTTGTGTCCATATTCGTGGGGTGGCGTCTTGCATTCCTCGCGTTCACAATGTTGGTTTTTTCGCTGGCTCTGTAAAAGATATCGATATTTTGAGATAGCATGTCGCCGTTTGTGGCTCTATGAGGGCAACCAAAGTGGAAGTGCCACTGCAGTGCTACCGCATGCGCCGACTTTAAGGGCGCTGTGATGCGACGGTGGCATTGCTTCAAGACACAAAGAAGGAGCACGAAGGAACAAATCTGACAGGCGTATGATGTTTGAAAGGAAAACACGTCTATCGTATCTCTGGGAAAAAGCGCTCGGACGCAAGCAGCGCTGCCCATCACGTAGTGTCGCATCACCACCACTGCCTGAACTAAGGCGGACCAATGACTCCCATTGAGAAGTGCGAGTTCACACTGGAATTGAAAGAAATAAAAAGGGTGTTGCACTGACGGTGCACAGTGTCATGCCACTTATACTTTTTATTGCACCGATACACCAAAAAGCCTGTACCCCTTCTACACATGAGTTACAACCAACGGACATTATGAATTTGATTCCGAACAACCTCTTACGTTTAAGTTTAGGCTGTTACCATTTAGCTCGTACGCCGGCTGCCCTGACACTGGAGCGTCTGCCATGCCTGAAGCACCCCGCAAATCATTTCTAGGTACTTTTCACTAGTACTAAGGAGCCCAGTTCTTTGAGTTCTTTCTTGAGATACCAAAGATAAGGCTTCCATTGAAGGCGGCTAGCACTCACACTAGCTTTAAGTGATCTGTTTTGCTTCCCTCTGCACATTTCAGTGCCACCAACACGCCCCACTTGTCATGTAAACCACACAGCTATGAGAATGTGTACTTCACAGCCCTTTCCCCTGCATGAACAAATAAACTCGTGTCTTTTTCAATGGAGGAAGCAAAAAAGATATTATAATTATGATGACTACAAATAAAAAGAACCTTCATATTTTTACAAATCGAGCACTATGCACAGGAGGTAAACATGGTGGCAAGGAAACGTTTGTTACTAATATGGTCACTGGTAGTCACAGCATAGGATGGGCTATGCTATCATGTTAATACGGAACTTTTGTGTTTTACGTAGCCTGCTAGGCTGCGTTTTTCAACAACCTTTTTGTGCACAATCATAATTTCTAATTTCTAAGGCAAAAAAAAAAAAGACGTACTAAAGAGTACTTAGGATCACTTTCTCCCTTTTGAGGGTTTTGTGATGTTACACGTTCTATTAGTTACATTATTACGGCCTCGAAATGCGTAGGTGCACTCGACAAGGTTCTACCATGCAACTGGACTTTCAAAAAATGAGTGATCCTTAGACTGAAACGCGACTTTGTAGTTTTTTTTTACGTCCCTTGGTATAACGTGTTGTCTGATGTCACCTTTTTAAATTCAGCAGACTCGGTAAGAGCGTCGCAGTAGGGCCTCGTTAACTTTGTGTCGTAATCAGCAGCCAGTTACCACAGCCTACTTTGAAAAAATATAACCACAGCATCTGTTTAGCGTTGACGCAGTGGCAATGCCTAGTGTAACACTGAGCTTTCACAGCATGAAGAAGAAAAACTGCAGAAAACAAGAGCACACTTCCGCGGCAGCCTGTTCGCGGGCCTTCAAATCATGAGTAGCGCCGGTTATATAAACCTTTTGCACTATCCCCGCTAGAAAAATGAGCAGAATCACTTGCCTGTAGTCGACAAGTTTATCAGGTAACTTTGAACGATTCTTCTTGTCGATGACGACATTCTCCGCTTGGGCGTCGGATGGCTGAGGTGATTGCACAGCGAGAAACCTGCAACATGCTGTGAAACCATTCGACAAAACATCCATTAGCAGTAAGCGTTTACCGCACCAGCAATGAGCTGGGTATAGCTTCACGCCACAGATTCATGCAAGTGGACCCTATTAAACAAAATTCCACTCAGTAAAGCCCGTTAATTAGCTGTGTTAAATGCAATCACGTACGTTTTTGAAGGTATACACGCCTGCATAAACTCGTGAGCACCCTGCACGCTGCCATGTTTGCTGGTGCCTCTAAAATGAGGTACGAAATGAAAAAAAAAAAGAGCATACAATTGTACATACAACAGTCAACGCCTTTTGCGTGCACTATTTTGCTATATTGAGTTATTTTTGCTGAAATATTTGCACACATTATCATGGCATACATTGTTCAAGCGTGATCATTTTTTTTTTTAAGTGACGCGTTGATTTGGCTGGCGAAACCGAAACCGTGGGTGTTTCGAAACAGCCTGGGGCATAATTTGGTGCGTACCGCAGCATTGTTTTTACTAATAATTTGCAGCAATGACACATTTTATGGCTTCAATAGTTTGATTTGCCATTTGGCAAGGTCACGGTTGTCAATATTTCAAGAAAAGATTGTTTATTTTTTCTGTGTAGGCGCGTCTTACCGGGAAAGATAGCCCTTTCGGGATTATTTCTTGGGAGCACTGATCTTCACGTGTCTAGCCATACGCTAGTGACTAGCTACGCTAGGCATGCAAACTTTTGTGCGACAGCTACTTTCACGTCACGAACAGTGCGGGGCTGCATCATGGTAAGTTCACACATCTTATAACCAAACAGGTGATGTCAATTCAACCACAGATATCATTTAACTCACTCTTTCGTAGAAGAGAAGGAAATAAGTAAAGAAATGAATGAGCGATTTGATGCATTTTAACGATCTGGCGTTGCATGGTTTTGTCCCGAGCGAATGCGTTGAGCAGCGGCCGAGTCGCCACTCTTCTCATATTACTCCGCGCCCTCGAGCCTTCGAGTTATATGGACAGTCAGACTGCCCAGGCGGCGCTGCGATAAACGCCGCCACCAGTGCCACCACTTTGCGCGTTGCGACCGAAGTTGCTTCGCCAGAGGGTAGTCCCTTTGTCGGGCCTCCCCGGCTTGTACGCCGGGAGGCAGGCCGCGTCTGTTCGGCGCCTGGCGCCGAACGGTGGCCCCCTTGCCAGGGCATGGCCGTCTGCCCGAAACAAATCTTCCCCCCAAACAACCCTGGGGGGAGGTGGTACCGGGACAGACGTAGGATGATGATGGGTTGATGAGTTAAGTGTGACTCTGGGACAAAGCGTTTCGGCGCCGCGTCTCCTTCCTATCTGACAACGGTACCATCGCCGCGCCGGCCATAAATGGGTAGTTCTCATGTGATTCTTAAACTAAAAGAAAATAAAAGTGAGCCGCGTAACTGTCTCTCAGGGGGAGGACACCTCAACAGTAGCTCACGAGGGATGGGGTTAAGGAGGAATTAAAAGAATAGGATTAAAAGGTATAGACATAGAAGAGGGGGGGGGGAGGTGAGAGCGTGGCGCAGGTAGAGCGACATCCAGAAGTAAGGAGAAGATAGGAAAGATGGACACGGTTACAGAAGTCCGAGAATGGGGCACCACACAGCGAGAGTAGAGTTAGGATCTCTAAGCGAGATGCTCTTGTCGGCGTCAGGAGATGGCGTAGGGCGAGCCAGTCGGCCAGAGCTGCGCTGTCGTCGGAGATCGTGGGGGCACAACTGGTCGGCACGAAATCCAGTGAGCGAGTCTTAAATATAGGTAGCGCGCAGAAAGTCGTCCGCAAGCGAACGTGCATGGGCTCTCCTCTTTCATTGGTCTTGGGTCGCGGTTTCTTAAAAATCAAGGACCTGGCAAGCTTCTTTTTTTCAATCTAACCTCGCTTCATAAAAGTAGGAAACTCATCAAAACGAAATGAGGGCTCAATGCGAAAGACGTTTCATTTATTTAGGCGTGCTGCAACTGGCAATTTAAATGCAAGCAAACATCACATGAAAACGAGTTCGAGGCAAGCACTCCGACGTGCGTTCTGTAATGCCTAAAAGCGTTAAACTTGGGCATACACATGATGCGAAAGTGATGAAGTGCATACGAACCATCTATGCGATCAGTGGTACGAAGCTAGTTTTATCCGCATGAATGGCCCTGGTGGTTTTCGCTTTGCAGCTCTATCAATCGCTCGCTTCCTGAGCGTTGAACTGTTTTATTACGCATGCTAGAATTTTCTGTTGGCGGTTGTCATCCGTTTCTATATATACTTCAAATGGAGATACATGCGTGCCCACTTTCTCAGTGTTCAACGAAAGGCAGAACCGGCCGATGCCTCCCAGATAACTCCGGTAATCGCGAAAACCAACAGTAAAAAAAAAAACGATTATGGTCGCGATCATTTTGCGACTAACCTGTATATGACGCACGTATTGGCATTTTCTAGTTAAAGCCGGGACTTAGTGCCTTCAAAGCCCTACGTGCGTGATGCTGTGTGGTGGCGACAACTTCATGCTGCAGAGTATCGGTGGTCGCGACGTGTGCGATGTTTATCGCGAGCGTCCCCTCTCTACCGTTGCACGTCGCGCACCGTGGTCAGAGGGTATCGACGTTTCATAATCAAAGTTACTACGGTTCTCCGTCAAGTCTACTCAAAACAACAATAGGAGACCTACATTATCGCACTTACTCGAGCGAATGGCTGTGGAGAACGTGAGTACGTAATAACGCTTACCCAACACGTTCGCAACGACCCGCATTTAGCACTCTCGCCATTCTGCTTTGCGAAAGCTGCGGAAATCAGTGAAACCGAAGTCATTTACGTCCGTGGCAATTCACAACGCAACAGTAGTACAGTGGCTAGAAGGAGAAGTGTGATTACCGCCAAGCGGCGTCTATGGGAAGGGATGACGCCGCTTAGCTATGCATCCGCTAGGTGGCGCTCGCTGTCGCGTACACGTATTGGTGGCAGAAAATTAGAGAGAAAGGACAAAAATAAATATTGGAAAAATAAAATATGGACAGTGTGCCGTAAATGGCAGAGAACTTAAGCTGAAAATTTACCTTTTTTTCCATTAAGATAGAATTTATCGAAGTAGAGGCATTAGGCCAACATAAAAAGAAAAAAAAGGTTTTTTTTTTTTTTTTGTCAAGCCTGGTGGCATACTTGTCACCACCCCGTTATAAAGGGGACGCTCATAGCATCCATCCATCCACGTCAAGCTCGCGTGCATTTGTCCGGTCAGGAATGATCAGTTGAGCTTCGACGTGCCCGTAAAGTGCTTAATACGAGTGAAACTCTTTGTCGACACGGTTAGCTGCCTTCGCAGCGCTTTGTAAGCATCCTAGAGGAGTTTCCACTTGGATGTGGGGCAATTCGCTGCCCAGGCTTGTAAAATGTGCCGGCGACAAAGCCACTGTTTTGTTCCCGGCTGCGTGACTGGCTACAAATCCTGCAAGCAAAAACTTTCACTGTTCGGCGTGCCTAAAGAAGAGGAGCTGTTTCTGAAGTGGCAGCGGTACATACCCAGAGCTGACAAGCCGCTGGAGAAAAATGCAGCAGTATGTGAATTGCATTTTGATCCGCAGTTTGTGTCGCGGCATTTCGAGCATGTAATACAAGGTGAATTGGTGCGCATTGATCGGACCAGGCTGGTTCTCCTGCCAAACGCTGTACCGACTATATTTCCCAATTTGCCCAAATACCTCTCGAAGCCAGTTCCGAAGAAAAGAAGTGCACGGGAGAAGCCAGCATCACAGCCCTCGTCTCCCAAAAGAAGACGTCGCATGGACGGAACGTGTTGCCCAAATTCTGAAGTTGTTGAAGCTGAAGAAGTCTGTGCTACTGTTGATGCTCCAGCTGCACATGTTCTAGAAGTCCTGAATGTGCCACTTCCGACCAACCAGTGGGCGAAGCACGTGTTCAGCGAGAATCCCCTTCACGTGGCCTACAGCGTGTGTTTACCTGGAAAAGACATGAGCCTGCTTCATGCGCTGAAAATGGTGGTGTTTAGATGCATCGAAAGTGTGATAAAACATGAAGTGTTTGTGCGGGGTGTCGAGGTCGCGCTTGATGTGCCAAGAGATCCAGCATCTATTTTGCAAGAAGTCGACAGCCTGCGTGCTTGCACTGGAGCAGGACTGAGTGCGGAGTTTCCGCTAGCGTGCTCCAACGCAAATTCGAAGCAATGGAATGATACTCTGTACCACATTAGGTGTAAAGGTGTATCAAGCCAGAGTGAGAAATGGTGCGTGTCGTGCAAGTATCTGAGGAGACTCCTAATTAACCAAAGGTGCCGAGCGAAGCAAACGAAGAAGACTAGAAGAAATACCTCATCAAAGCTGAGAGTGAAGACTCAGGCAGTGCGACGCCTTAGAACCAAGGTGAAGTCGCTAGAGCAAGTGATCTCCCAAATGAAGGAAGAAAATGAGGCAATTGAAGAAACCACCCTCCTGAAGAAAATTGGTCAGCTTCCACCTAAGCAGAAGGCTGCCATTATTCAGTGTTTTGAGGCTGCGACACGAAAATCTCCAAAGGGGATGCGGTATAACCCTGAATGGCTCCTTGAATGCATCATTATGCGCATAAAGAGCCCACGGCTCTATGAGCATATACGTAGAGAAAAAATCTTGGCGCTACCAAGTCGCAGCTGCCTCAAAAAGTACATGAAGCAGTACGAGAGCACGTTTGGTTTTAATCGCAATGTGCTTTCAGGAATTGCCAAAAAAACTGAAAAAATGACTGAATTTGAGTGTCACGGTGGACTCATCATCGATGAGATGAAGTTGGCTGAGAATTTTGCTGTGAAAGGTGGCTCGGGTAAAATTGACGGCTTCGTCGACCTGGGTACTTTCACTCCTGAGCCCGAAAAAACAGTTGCATGCGACCACGGTTTGGTGATCCTTTTCCAGCCACTTTCAGGGTCGTGGCACCAGATTCTTGGTGTATTTGCATCCCGGGGAAATGTGAAGGCACCACTGCTTTCGAAGATCATTCTAGAAGCCACTCTTCTTGCCGAGAATGCTGGCCTCAGGGTGGACTACGTAACTTGTGACGGAGCGTCATGGAATCGTGCGATGTGGCGGCAGTTCGGCATTTCTGGGTCTGCAACTGCAATTAAGCCGTCTGCGGCTCACCCAGTTGGAGATAACAGGCGTCTATTTTTTTTCTCAGACTTCCCGCACCTAGTGAAGTGCATCCGGAATGGCTTCATAAAGACAGGATATAAGACGCCGCGTGGTCATGTAGATGTG